ATGTGCATGACTTAGAATAGATAAAAGAGTTAAACTAAAATGAGGCATATGAGTTTAGGGGACATGGTATTCTTGAAGGAGACTCCTTTGAAGGGCGTCCTAAGTTTCAGATGTAAAGGAAAGCTGAGCCCATGCTTTATTGAACCATTCAAAATCTTAGATCAAATCTGTCACAACAAAATTTTCGAGGCTTCGAAATCTCGGATCGTAACCCAAAAGGCAAAAGAGAAAACAAACAAAAATAAAAGAAAAGAAAAGTACAAGTTATAATATTATTTAAATAAAACATAATAAAGAGAATTTTTTTCAAAATATTACGAAGGGAATACAAATTAAACAAGGAAATACAAAAGACTCCAAAATGACTGAAAGGTTACTGACACTTTGGAAAGATCCCCTTTATTACTGCACAGCTCTTAAACGCTCCTCAACCTCGACTGGCAGCCTGCGAAAACTTTTAAAAAATAGGAAACCTAGGATGAGTATAAAAATTATACTCAGTAAGTCACCTACTTGTAGGCTCTCATCACATTCTAAGCTTAAAAGATTCCTACGGACTTCTCTTTGGCTATAGGACGTCTGGTTCTAGTATTAGGCCCTTAGGGCTTCTTTGGTTCTCCATCCTTTCATTTAAATCATAAAAGTTCCTTATGCCAAGCTTTAATGACCAGTGTCTTTCTACGAGGCGCAACATTTGCATGGCATTCTAAGACTATATGGTATCTTACCAGGGGGTGTGCTGAGTACCTCCTAGGCCCATGATAGACCACCTTATTGGGGGGCGTGACCCCTCCTTTCCCAGCTAGTGGTCTGTAAGACATGGGGACACTTTTCCATGCAAAACGGCTAGGAACAATGAGTTTTATTAGGAACCCTTGGTCCTCCCACGAAGCTATAGACACCGTTCATACGAATTGTAGCCTAAGAACACTCCTAAGGTACTTTGTTTGCCGCGGTGATCTGATAGGCTCCTTAGGTCTAGACTCAGTGACTTGTCACTTCTAACCACAAATCCCTAGGCTTATCATATTATTGGGTCATGGAAAATAACTGAGTGTGAATACAACCGTCATCTAGCATTATCATACATAATTCATACAAAGTAAACATACACGCTCAATGGGGTGATAACATCCATCAAGCCTCCTAGAGGGCAAAGTTCTCAATTTCTCACCCTCTTTTCAGCATGAATTAAACATATACATAAATAGTGGAGGATTAAAGCATACTTGCAACACTCAGAATATTACACATAGTATATCCATACTCATAACAATCAAATTAACTACATTCTCTCATGGAAAGCTACCACCTAAGGTAAATGCATTAGCATGCATGCATTTCAAGCGATTCCTACAAGTATGGCTTCCTAAATACCATATGGTGACTAACATGATTGATGCGTGACTTTCGTTTAGTGTTTCTAGACAAATAACGTATCCAAAAATACTCATTTTGTCCAATTAGGTCCTAATTCACTTAAAAATATGATTAGGATTAGAATCGAGATAAAAATCGAGCAAACAGAAGTCGAACAGGAAGGAAACTAAACTTCATGCATGCAACACATGCTTCCAATCGCCGGAAAGACGCTCCACGCGCCCATACGAATGCGCTTGACGGAAGAGGACGCACGTCTAGGTGCTACCATGGCGTGCTCAAGTTAGTCAGCAGCTAATGAGTCATGGGTTCAAATCTGGAGGTGCACGCTGGGAAGTGAAATTCCTTATGTTGACGCGTGGCACCATGCAGATCTGATCAAACATCCTTTGAGTCAAACTTGGTCAGATGTGGGTTGGAAGACCTGTCATGTGTTGCATATCGAGTGGAGTCGCATCGCTCCATAATGTGCCTGACGCATTGTTCCACCCAATCGTTGACGTGTGTCCCTCAAGCTGTCCAACGCACTTTCCCTCCCGCAGGTTGACACATGGCTCGCCGCAACACAAAATCTGATTAACTTTTTCATTTTTAAATTTTTCATTTTTTCTCATTTTCATTCTTTTGATCTAGACTTCATGGTGATTTGTTTTATTCGAAGAATTTTAAATTGTAATAAAAACTTCGTCCTAATATATTTTCTTGAATTTTCACATCATCACATACTAAGTTATGAGCCTTCAAAGTCAGTTCATTCACCTCCTTCTTGTTCTTGGAAGAACTCTCGAAAATCCGCCTTTAGACCAAAATTTCGGCTATGATTCTTCATGAATACTGTGGGGAATCCTTCCTATAAGAACATATCGAAATATTAGACCTTAACTCGTAAGAAATGGCTCATTTCAGAAGAAAAACGTTGAAAGGTTACCTCACGCGTCTCCTCGGTTCATGACAGAAAAATAGGACTCCAGCCACCCAAATCTTCTTCTTCCTTCCAAGAAAGGTTCCTTGCATCATGGTCTTGACTGGAATGGGCTCCTACGGTAGTTTTCAGTGAGTCTTCCTGTTTTCTTTATTGTAGGTATTTTTTCATGGCCTCTCATGAACCCGTAAAGTAACTTGAGGGTGAAATGATAGTTGATTTTGACCAGTTACATAATAAAACATTAAACTAACTCTCAAATTAAGTCATTATGTTTAAATTTCATAGTGTTATAACCCCGTATCATGAAAAGATATTATTTAAATGACGTCTTATGACATGTATAAGAATGGGGGATTATGAGACAAAAAATAAATCCATTTTCTTTATTGTAGGTATTTTTTCATGACCTCTCATGAACCCGTAAAGTAACTTGAGGGCGAAATGATCGTCATACCCTTCAATTGATTTTGACTAGTTACATTATAAAACATTAAACTAACTCTCAAATTAAGTCATTATGTTTAAATTTCAAGTAATAAATAAGAGAATACTAAAGATTCGAGCCATAGAATTTCTAAATTACCCGTTTAGCTTCTCATTCTCAGCCATGGTATTGATAGCATAACTCTTCCGGCAAGAATTAGTGTGCAGGTGTCTCAACCATGTGAAGATCAAGTCTCCTCTAGAATATAATAATAGTAAAAGGAACTATGGTTCCAATTACCTTCTCTGGAGAACGGCGTTAATAGAGTCAACGTATCGCTCAAAATCATATGAACGTATTATCTATCGTGGGATGATTTCATAAGTTAAATATAACTCATAGTGTTATAACCCATATCATGAAAAGATATTATTTAAATGACGTCTTATGACATGTATAAGAATGGGAGATTATGAGACAAAAAATAAATCCACTTGATTTGTTGTGTAACCCAAGGGCATCATTCTCTTTAGTGCACCTCAAAAAAAAAAAAATTCCGATGCAAGTATCAAACCTATGACCTTCACATTCTTAGCACGACACTCTAACAAACTAAGCTAATTGGCCATAAGTTTTATGCACATTACGAATCAATAGCTCTTAATCCAGTCAATTGAGTTTAGGTTACATAATTTTATAAATAATAAATTTACAACTTTAAGTCATTATCTTTTAAAGTTTGTGATGTTTTAATCCCGTCCCATAACATTAAAGATATCATTGAGAATTAATTAAATTGACCCAAGCAAGTGTCAAACTTGTCAAACTTTCGCTTTTTGTTAGCAGACGTTCAGGTTTTATGCATAATAAAACTTAAGACTTGAGATTTTAAGTCATTATCTTTAAAGTTGGTAGTGTTATAACCTTGTATCATGAAAAGATATTATTAGGAATCAATGAAATTGACCCATGCAGGTGTTAAACCTGCAAGCTTCACGTTATTAGCACGACGCTCTAACCAATTGAGCTAATAGGCCATAAGTTTTAAGCATATTGTAGATCGTTAGCTCCTAATCCAATCAATCAAGTTTTAGGTTACATAATTTTATGCCTAACAAACTTAAAACTTTAAGTCATTATCTTTTAAAGTTTGTAGTGGTTTAACCCTGTATTTTTAAAGATATCATTGAGAATTAATGAAATTGACCCATGCAAGTGTCAATAATGTTAGCATGACGTTCTAACAAACTTGGTTTTATGCACATTCCAGATCAATAGCCCATGCAAGTGTCAACAATGTTAGCACGACGTTCTATCAAACTTAGTTTTATGCACATTGCAGATCAGTAGCTCAAATCGAGTTTAGTTTTATATCAAGAAGAATAAATTAAATTAACCAATGCAGGTGTCGAACCTTCGAACGTCACATTATTCGCACGACCCTCTAACCTGATAATATTTGCTAAAACCACCAAACATAAATGGTGGTGAATGTTCTTTATTTATAATGATTTAGAGAATAAAGAATTATGGTAAATTACAAATAATATGGAAATAAAAATAAAATAAAAGAATAAAAAATAAATAGAATATATTTCCTTCTAATAAAATAATAAAAGATGAAATAAAAAAGATCCATGTTCAAATTTGATCCTTATCAAAGTGGGTTGTGGGTCTTGGGTTGGTGTTTGTAGAGGGTACGATGTAGAAAATTGGTTATGTATGGGATTGGAGTGAATAGGGACGAGTCAAGGGGTAATGTGATTGTTGTATCTGGGTGTGTACCCACTAACCATATGGGTTTCCCCTTCGTTTCAGAATTTTCCATTTATACATCTCTTTCTTTCGTTTCTTTCAATTTTGGTCATGGTATTATGCAAGGCAAATATGTAGATATTTTCTTTTAATAAACGGTCAAATATTCTTAACACCCCCCGCTAGCCGAGCGTCGGATTTGAATGAACGTGAAGCTTGGATCTAAAAAATTCAAAGAGATGTCAAGAAACATTTTTTGTGAAGATGTCAGCAACATGTAGATGGAAGTTATTGTGTGCGAAGTTTGCCAACGATAATAAAGATGGGAAGGTACATATTGTGTGCAAAGTTTTCCAGTGATAACAAGTTCTCGAAGGAAATGATAATCTAGTTTAGCATGTTTATCCTGCTTGTGAGAAATGAGATTAGAGCTAAAAAAAATAGCACTTTTGTTGTCACATAAGAGCAAGGGATGCTGTGAAATAGGTGCCTTGAGGTCATGCAAAAGATGCATATCTAAAAGATGTTCAGCAGCAGTTGTGGCAAGAGCACAATACTCAGATTCACAGTTAGAGCATGAGACAGTAGGTTTCTTTTTGGCACTCTAAGAAACGAGATTGTTACCAAGATAATAGAATAGCCAGATGTAGAACGAATAGTATCGGGACAACCAACCCAATCGACATCCGAAAAAGCCACTAGCGCACTAGGAACAGTGGATGGACGAAAGGTAAGACAAAAGTGAAGTGTTCCTTTGACAAAGCGAAAAATATGTTTGACAGCAAGAAATTGATCTGCAGTAGAGACATGCAAAAATTGACTGACAGAATTTACAGCATAGGCAATATCTGGATGCGTAATCGTCAAGTACTGAAGAGCACCAACAAGAGATCTATAAAGAGTAGGATCAGAGAAAGTAGAAGCATCAATAGTCAGACGTTGAGAAACAACCATGGGAGTGTGGACAGGTTTGCTATCGAACAACTGAGAACGAGTAAGAATATCTTGGGCATATTTTAACTGACTAATAAAGAGACCATCAGGAGTGGGTGAAGCTTCAAGACCAAGAAAGTAACTGAGAGAACCCAAATCTCTGGTAGCAAACTCAGAAGGAAGCTTGCCAGTAAAACTGTCAATAAGAGATGAATTGTTGTCGGTAACAATAATGTCATCAACATAAAGAAGCAAATAGATAAGGTTAGATTGCTAGTGAAAGATAAAAAGGGGCGTGTCAGCGTGACGGTAAGAAAAATCAAGTGGGAGAAGAAATGAGCTAAAATGCCAAAATCAGATGTGAGGAGCTTGCTTTAAGAGGGCTTTCTTTAATAGACAGACATGAGTGAGAAAGGAAGGATGAATATACCTAGGAGGTTGTTCCATATGAACATGTTCAATAATAGTGTCATTGAGAAAAGTATTCCTGACATCAAGTAATCAAAGAGGTCATTTATTTGTGACCGCAATAGAAAGCACAACATGGACAGTGGTAACTTTGACAATCAGACTGAAAGTGTATGTGTAGTCAAGACCAAGAACTTGAGTATAACCTTTGGCAACAGGATGAGTCTTGAAATGCTCGACCGATCCATCAGGAAAATATTTAATACAAAAGACTTATTTCATGCAATTTGCAGGCTCGTCGAGAACATTGATAAAGTGCACTGGTTCCTTCATGGACTCGGCACTCGGCACTCGGCACTTGACATCGATTTTTTAGCTTTTTCTACTGCGCTCTCACCCCTCTCCCCTATTTTTCAGTGCTCCTTCAGTCTTCTGACTCCGCTCATACGACATTCGCAGCCATTAATCGTTCTCATTCCTATAGAAAGAACTCTTCCAACCGAAGACGAACCAAATATGCGGCCATTATACTGACAGCCGACCCATCTATTTTAGATCAGTCTAAAAATTATTCTCATTCCCACATAAACAACTCTCCAACCAAGGACGAACAAAATATGCGGCCATTATGCTGACCGCTGACCAATCTTTTTTAGACAAACCAAATTTGGCCCATGCAAGTTTCAAACGTGTGATCTTCGCATTATTAGCATCTTCACATTTTGTTAGCAGGACATTCTAACCAACTTAGCTAATATGCCTAAGGGAATTGGTAGCTCCTAATGCCAATTGAGTTTAGTTACATTTCTTTATGCATAATAAAACTTAAAACTTTCAAATTTTAAGTCATTATCTTTAAAGTTCGTAGTGTTGTAACATCGTATCGTGAAAAGATATTATTAAAAATTAATAAAATTGGCCTATGCAGGTGCCTTACGATCTTCGTGCTATGAGCACGACACAAATTTTGTATCCAGTCAAGCTAATTTTGTAGTGCTCATATCGTTGAGAATGTGACTGTGACCTTAGATAATAGGCCAAAAGTTTTATGTAACCCCTTAATTAAGAGAATTAATGAAATTTGCTAATACAAGTGTCAAACTTGCGACTTTTACGATAATAGCACAATGCTCTAACCAACTGAGCTAATAGACAATAGGTTTTATGCATATTGCAGACTGGTAGCTCCTAATTCAGTCAATCGAGTTTAGGTTACATAACTGCGACCTTCACGTTATTAACACGACGCTCTAACCAATTGAGCTAATAGGCCAAAGGAATTGAAAAAAATAAAATAAAAAATAACCATATTCATTTTTCCCCCAGCTTTGTGGATGAATCGAACCTTAGGCAAGATTTATCTTCACCCACCGGATATCACTTGTACAGAATCTAAGCTTATTCGGCCACACACGATGTCTGTGCGGGTATGTTCAATCGTCTGCGACACAACCAACTTGCTTCTACACTAGGTCAAGTCATTCGACTCGTCCTTGCCTTTGATCGAGGCCAAGGTCTCTCAATACAATGCCACATCCAACATCATCTTGGTTCCCAAGAAACATGGCCCATATGTCTTGACATCATCCCAAGTCATGGGGTGACATCGGTCAACGTAGCTCGCTCGGTCATGCCATCGAGAACGAGTCCACGTGTTGTTCATAACGTTGAGATATCCCAAACATGTATCCATATAAAATATATCGTGGCATTGGCCCTCCCATGTCCATGCCATATCATTTATGTACTCCATATTAGAGAGTAGATGCATAATCCAACCTCTGACACATGGCCTAAAGCGTAAAACCAGCACACCCATGTCGCTCAGTACTTTTCTTAAAAGACCCATTTCAAAGGAAGTCACGTGTGACACTTGTCTTAGAATGCTCATTCTCATTGTAACATACATATGTGCCACAGGTAGCTCACTTAGGCCAGAGGGCCTAAGACGGGTGGAGAGCTGACACCTTGTCTCCCCTTATTGGACATTTTGAGGCATTTTCAAATTGGTGGGTGTAAACATGATTTTGGCGAATGAACATATGGTGTCGTGGAGCGTCCGTCCGATGTCTGATTGACACCAAATTTTGCGAGCTTTTTTATTTCATAGGGACATACTTGACTTTAGAACCACATGTCTAAATTCCCTTAAGAATCTCAACTTTTGAGATTAAAGCTCACGGCCCGACCCTTTAATAAGCCTATTTGTGACACTCATGTTTGCTCCTTGTTCCTATCTTACTTATGTCTTACTTCCTTTTCAATATACACGTTATATGGTGAGTTGGATGATGCACCATCCTCCTCAGTTACATCATGACATTCTTCTATATTGGGCCTCGTGTGATC